CTTGCTTATAAATTTCCATTGTTTTGTAGTATGAGGATGAACTAGGAATGTTTTCTTAATAGTTCTGAAGACAGCTTAGGATATTTTATCCTTGCTTATAAATTTCCGTTGTATTGTAGTATGAAGATGAACTAGGAATGTTTTCTTCATAGTTCTAAAGACAGCTTAAAGGTAATAATCTTAAAGGGGAATAGCACATCACACTAAGACATAGCTGATAGAGCACAGAGGATGCTGGGGAGGCCACTGCAGTGAGCAGCTTGATCATAATGACAGTGAAGATGTCAAAATTGTCTGTCAGCTTGTCAAATGGAATAAAAGATACCAACAATCTGATGATGTGGCAAAGCCCTTGGCAGTTAAATGATCCAAATTACATTATAGCTTACTGAAATTGTGAAACAAATGCATAGGACTAATTAAAAAAAATCCAGAGATAATTAGTGAAAGCTCAATATTTTTATGGTACTAGGTTTTAATAACTTTATCAGATTGCTTAGTTATTTAAAAGGGGCACAGAGTGACTGAACAGAGACTCTAGAAAATGTACTAATTTTTTACAACTCCCAACTTTTCTCAAGCTTATCAAAGTCAAATGACTAGGTATCAGTATCGCAGGCTCAGACGTAGCTGTGTAAATTCAAGATTTTAACACACAGAGATCGATGTGTGAGCTGGCTAAATCTCCCTGTGGGTATAGGATGGCTGGGTCTTAACACTTAGGAGAGGGTGATTATAAATTCCAGAAAATCTGTTTTTAAATAGATGACCAAGTATAAGACTTTCTGAATCAGAAATTAGTAAGGGCATTTTAACGTTGCCAGATATCTTTTCAAATGTAAGACATTACAAACTCAAGTTCTCGTCGAAGAAATGTGGCATGGTGTTACATCTATAAATTTTTTCCTGACGTTGGATCTAATATTTCTTTTGTTAATCTGATAAGAATGAAATTTAGAATTAATAGGGATAACATTAAGATTTGTACAGCAGAACTCATTAGAAACAGTTTTACAAACCTGCTTCAAATTGAATAAAAATATCTTGTATCAACATCCTGAGTGAAGATCAACCCAGCCTTCACTTTTCTAGCAAGAAATGTCACTATTCCTTGGATGATACAACTGTGAACCAAAGGCAACCATGTCTATGGGAAAACAAAGGAAATTCATCTTTCCTCGAGGTTTATCTTAATGAATTGACTTAATAGTTAGAAACAATACCATTTTTTTTAATTTTGTGGGGCAGAGTCTCTTCATATGCCATCAATGTAAAAATTACTCCAATTGGAAGCATTCTCCACCTGAAATGCCTCTTCCTATAAAGTCAATACAAATACAGATCAAGTTGATGGGAAAGTCAAAGTTATGTTGTCAGGTTTCAAAAGGGAGGCTTCCTGCACCTCCCAGGTACATAGTTAACACTACATTTTTCACACTCTTTGTAATTAAGAGCTGTGATTTATACCATGAAGACATATGAGTCCTTGAACACTAATGTATTGGCTCAGGTTAACCTCCACAAAAGCCTAAGAAATTCAAAGTGGAAAAAGAAAAGACAACAATCTGGCAAAAACCAGCACCTTAATGTCAGCTGAAAACATTTCTCCAATGCTAATGAAGGCTGTGCATATTCTTCTAGCCATGGACTTCACAGACCCTCAACATACTAAATCAGAGTCTGAAAAATGCTTTCTCTGTCTCTCCAGCAAGCTGCACTCTGTCCAACTCTCATAAATCTGCCATAGCAGACACACATCCATCTTCCCAACATCTCTTTTTTTTTGAGCAGGCAATTAATGATGTGATACACCTACCACATGGGTCATGCCAAACAGAGAATGTTACACAAGGGCTCCACAAGTCATGACAACTCCTCAGTCGATTCTGATTCCACTATAATTTTCTACAATGGTTTGATAAAGCTTCTAACAGGGTCAGGGTCACAGAAGCAAAATGTTGCCACCTTTTCCTTCATCTCATAGGTGACACCAAATTCTAATCTTGGACTACAAGAAAATCAGCCTCTTCTGTGACCCTCCACGAGCTATGCACTTTACAGAAGAAAACGTCTGGCAGACAACCCAGTTCCCACCATTTTTAGGTGATATCACAACACCTGTGTTTTGCCAAAGCCTTCCCAAAAGCAGAAGAAAATCAGCAGCATGACTTGAGTTTGCAGCTGTTACTGAACTAATGACTTGGCTGGAATACCAGATGCAGCTAAGAGGCAGATTTTAATGTTCTGTGTATGCTGTGCATGCAGTAGCTCTGTCATTATGGCTCTTGCTGTAGAAATGCAGGGTAACACACAGTGGTAGAAATGTGGTATCCTGAACATGCTACTCCTGGAGATCAAATCTTCATTGTGCTTTTGGTCCCCTACACCATGCCTAGCCACTGCTCCTGCTTCAAGCTGTGGAGTACCCACAACTCCACACTCCCTTCAACCCTGGATCCTGTCCTTCCCAATGTTTTGAAACTTGGTTCTTCTAAACACATCAAAAACCTTCAACCCATGTATGTCATCTCTTCTGAAACTTGTTTTCGTACTTAATTGCAGTAGCCATCAACCATCCTACTTCAATCACCCCTTGCTGGTAGCACATAAACAAAATAGCTTAGACCACTCATCTACCAGGAAATATCTGGTATATTTGTTTGCTAATGTAGTTGAGTGGGTGTTGTGGTCACTGTGATCAGAACCCTCAGTGCCTGGTCTGCAACAGGGTCACAGCTTAGATTGCAACAGCAGTGAGGCTGTGTCATATCTAGGCAGAGGGTTCCTAAGATCCTGTCCATGGCACTGGGCAGCAGTTGCCCTTCCATCCACCTGCTCTCACCTGATCCAAAGGTGCCTCTAGCTGCCTAACTTTCATTGCATGCAGCTGTCCCTTCAGAGACCCCTCATTCCATCCTGCCTGCCTAGCTTACCCTCCATATGATTTCCTCTTGGCCATCTCAGCTCAGCCCTGTGCCCTCTCCTTGGGAACATGCACTTTCTCATTCAACTTTAACACCTGCTTGTGCCAGGGCTCCCACTGATGCTGTTCCCCCTCTCAGCAGCACCCACATCACTGGTCTTTCTGGAACCTATGTGCTGTGCCTGAGTTTAATTTGCCTCCCTAACCCAGCCTGGTTGTGCTCTGAGGGCAGACCCCATGCACAGTGATCCTCCCAAGCACAGCTGTATCATGTGAGAAACTTCAGTATACTTTAAAACACAGAAGCTTAAAAATAGTCCATTGTTTGTCACAGAAACTGCAAAAGAGCAGTGCAGATGTACAGAGCAACCCTGATTGAGAATGCACTGGAAGGAAAGGGGAGAAGGAGAAGGATGGGAAAGGGAGAAAACATGGAGTTGGGTAGGCAGGGATCTGTAATAATCCTTCTTACAGTTATAAAAAGAGGAATGAAGGGGACAAGGAAAAAAATAAAATACTTAAACTCAGGAAGACAGATCCTTTTTCAGCAATGGAAACTGAGTATTTAAAACTCCTTGCAATAAAAGAATGAATTATTTCACCTTAGCTATATGAAACTGCCTTTGGGTCACATTCTCATCTCACCCTACAAAAATACACAAAGGGGAGTCCCTGAGTGTAGAGGGGAACACACTGCATAGTCTGGCCAGATGAGTGCTTGTGCACACGCAGCATGAGGACACTTCAGACAACATCTCTGCCCCTTGCCCTGCAAGGTGTTCATAGTGGGCAGTGAACCACCTACTGCTAGGGTTTAGGCCTTCAATGCTAACGTGGGGAAACCTTTGGGGTTACAACAGAAGCAACTTCTGCAAGGCAGCAGGGCAAAATCATAGGATCATAGAGCAGTTTGGGTTGGAAGAGATCTCAGATCCTTGAGTTCCATCCAACTCCTCTGCCATGGGCAGGGATGCCATCCACTAGACCAGGTTGCCAATTTGCCAAAATTGCTTACAGGTGATAGGTATGTCAGTTAGTCTAGTACTCCTGCAACTTGAGAAACATAGATTAGAATTGATGGCTTACGTGCTATTTTCCAGCTGTAGTGCAGCTCACTGCTACTATTTGCTTGTAACATCTGTTCCAAGAAGAAAGCACCTACAAATGCCTCAGTGTCTCCAAAATTACAAGAGGTTAGTTTGTTAAACATTTAATCTATGTAAAGAAATATAGGCTTCATGCAAGATAGATCTGAGTATGGACTGTTTATTCTATCATTGCTAACTATTACTTGCTGCTATGCATGAAAAATTCAAACCCAAGAATTTTTCAGATGTGTTTTCCCAGCTAAAACATGTTATATGAAGGTCAGATGCAGGTTAAACTCAGAGTCTCCTACTTTTAGAAAGAAAACTGACTTCAAAAGATAGGAAACATTTAAACAGTGTCACGGCAATATGGCTTATTCAATTATTAACTAGCTGGTTTATTTTTAATTGCTCATGTACCTCTTCAAACTCAGCCTAGGTCAGCCATGAAGGAAAGCAGCTACCAGACAGCTGGCAGCTGCACAGTCTGTGCAGGGTGGGCATGGTTCTCACAGCCAATGGATGGGGTCTCAGATCAGAGAAAACATTACCACAGATGGCACAACTGGGTGCCTGTGACTGGTCTCCCCATCACCCACAGCAGAGTGGCCAAGTGCATGTTTCTGAACTACTCTCTTACCCCTAAAGGTGGTCTCTCCAGGTCAGGGTTGAGGCACATTGGTGGGGCAATGTGGGGAAGTTTGCACTGCTGCTGCCCATGCTGTATCTGCTCTATAAATAAATAGAGGACTTTAGTCTCCAGGGCTGTCAGTTTGGCACCTTCCATGTGCACAAAACACACATTTGTTGGGTTTTTTTTATTTGCTAAGAAACAACCACCCAAAAAGTTATATGCAAAGCTTAGTATGGCGGATCAAAAAAAAATAATCAAATTTATTGTATGAGAGTACCTAAAATCTCTCAACTTCCACTCACTCTTTCTCTTGTGTTTTCTACTTTTAATTGTGATAAGAATAAAAGTTATGGACCTCTTTCGGTGTTTCTTGATGACAACGGTTGCTGTTCCACCACAACTCCAATGCTGCCACCAAGCAAGCAAGAAGAAGGCCTATTGCTAAAATGCAGAAAACGCCTGCAAAACTGTGAAGCTTGAGTGCCTTCCCATCTGTCTGTGCATTGGTATGGCTATTCAGGTCACAACGTCCCATCCGTGGCCACCATTTCTGTTTAAGAACATCCAAATCTCCACTTTCTTGCAACTCAAGGATCCTACAGAAATTTCAAAAGACAAGTATTATTTTCAATGTTATGTTTCACAGTTTTTTTGTCTTTTCTGTATGCTGCACAACTCTTAAATCTACCATCCCACAGTTCAAAATTCTACCCTGCCACCACCACAGTGCAGCATTCTTCATCTGAAACTCCATTATGCTAAGATTTCTTTCTACTCACAGCAACAGGTAAACTCCACTGGATAACTTTAGGAAAAGAGACTGTCAAAAATTCCACTGCAATGCAAGCAGCATTTCCAAGGGAAATGACCATATTCCATTAATCATGCCTGGTCTGGCTACATTCAGCTGCAACAGCTGGTCCCACTAGTGAAATGCTCAACCCACTCCACTGCTGCTCTCCCACAATAATTTCAAAACCATGTGAGGCTAAACATGCTACTATTTGTGTGCCACTTAATACAAATCTGTTTAAGCAGCAACCAACTCATTTATTTCAGCAAATGTAGTTTATTTAAAAGGATTTTACTTCAATGCTGTTACTTAATGCCTGAATTACTGTGTTAACAGTTGCTAATTAATCATTGTTTTGTCTCTTGTGAAGTGTCCCTTCTCTGCATGAATGATTCATTTTGGATTTGGTTTGATAACTGTTTTAGCTGTTTACTAACAATCTGTTCTCTTGAGGCAGCTTTGTCTCTAGTTATGCAGCTGGAGTTTTGCTCCTTTTTATAAAGAAAAGAACAAGATGAAGAAATCTTGCTTCAACTCCCTGCCTGGAGCAGAGCACCCGCTCACATTCTGCTAAAGCCACACATGCCTGCACAACTGCATGTCTTCATTTCAGAGTGTGCATTCACATGGAAAAGTATTCCTAGCTGATAGCTCAGAGATCACTAAATGGCATAGTTTTATGATCTTGTGGTTTTAGCAGTGCCATGCAATACTTGGCAATTCTTGTTTTTCTATCTCTCCACCTCAAAGGACAAATCAAGCCATTACTACTGGCTTAATGCAAGGAGCAACATTGCTTCAGAGCCTGCAAATTGTAGCATGAATCAAAGATCTCTCTTCAGTCTGTCTTCTAGCTCATATAAAGCTCTGAGCACATCAGTCCTTTCTGCCAGAGGCAGTGCTGCCTGAAGGTGTGAGGCCACACATCACCTCTGGTCCTCCCAAACCAGATGCACACGGAGCAGAAGTAGCAGCTCTGTTGGAGCCTGAACTCATAACCTCTCTGCTGTCATTTATTCACTATCCTTTATTAATTAAATGCCAAAATCAATGAGAACCAGAAATGATTGCTGGTTGTAGAGAGGAATCCTATAAAAAGAGCTTTGTTTCAGCTTACCTCTGGGAGAAAACATCTCTGTAGGGACTTCCATGCTGGAGAGCTATCCCATATCCTTTGCTGCTGATGCTGTTTCCAATGACTGTCACAGAGCATTCATCATCTGTCAGTGCAGCATATTCCACCACTGTCACATCCCACAGGAAAGCATAGTTTCCTTTCTTTGCCTGTAAATACAGCATGAACACGACACAATCTAAACTAAACTGCATTTCTAGGTAGGACAAAATCCAAGCCAACAAACAAATCTAGATCTTGTCATTATTCCTTGGTAGGATTTCATTAGATCACCTCCA